TATATATGCTGATTATTTTCATAATCACGAACGTATTTAAGTAACGATTTACCTTTATTAATGCCCTGGCAATGGCAACTCTTTGACGTTGTCCGCCACTAAGAGCAATACCCCTTTCCCCGACTATTGTGTCTAATCCATCGGTCATTTTTTCTGCGAACTGCAATACATGCGCTTGTTTTGCAGCCTCTCCTACGTCAAAATCTGTCGCAGATTCCATTCCGTACAATATATTATCTCTTATTGAGCAACTGAAAAGAATTGGCTCCTGAGATACAATGCTGATCTGAGACTTTAACCACGCGGGATCAAGCAGACGAAGATCGTGGTTATCCAAGAATATCGACCCTTTTGTAGGGTCATACAATCTTAGTAAAAGTGACGCGACGGTAGATTTACCGGAACCCGAGGATCCAACAATAGCCGTCATAGAACATTTCTCTATGTTTAAATTAAAACCTTTCAACACGGGCATCTTTTCTCGCGTTGGATATGCGAAAAAAACATTTCGGAACGTCACATTGCCTGATAATTCTTTTTCTAAAATTTGCCCGCCTTGAATGGGAATAAGCGGCTGTCGATCGATTAACTCAAACAGACGGGCATTAGCACCTAGAGCCTTATTTAACTCGCTATATGCCTTAGATAATCCATTGAGAGAGATGCCCACGTAGCCGGCATATAATAAAAAGGCGCTTAAGCTTCCAATTGTTATATCGGCATTTGATACCATAAATACTCCATTGTAAAGGACTGAAAGAGCAATAATGTTCCCAGAGAGACCGGTCATACCGAAAAACATTCCTCTATATAAACTCTCCTTGTAACATAGTTTTAGAACGTCTTGTAATTTAGTGCTATATCTGTCAATCTCGCGTTTTTCTTGCGCAAACGCCTTGACAGTTCTTATATTGCCAATTCTTTCTTCCGCAGTTGCATTGACCACTGCAATACTGCTTTGGAGATCCTTGGACACTCTTTTCAAGACACGTCCCCAAATAGCAGCAATAACTGCGACAGGTGGTACTATAGCTAAACCCAGTAAAGCTAAGGATGGTGATACGTAAAACATCATGGACACCCCTGTTATAGCCATAATAGCGGAGCGCAAACCATCTGATACATTGGACGTGACGGCAGAACTAATAAGTTGTGTATCTCCTGAAGAAAAAAAATAAAATAAAAAAAGATATTAATGCATGGTATTAAATCGTTCGCATTACTACACTTAATTAGTACATATTAAACTGCTACATATAACAAATTTAATCACTTGCATTAGATTATGCACAATAACAGCTGCTGCATATGAAATTAGTAAATTAAATGTAAAAGCATATAAATATATATATATATATTATTTCATTGTCTCAAAAATAATTATATTATATTACTGTATGTAGATACTTTATATATAAAACAGCCGTTTTAATGTGCACTAGTCCAACTAAGTGACTGAATTCATCAACAGAAAGTATCTAAATATAGTAGCACAATGTAATCAACTTTGACAATAAAATAATACATTTTGTTAAGTACTTTCTTAAATATGACAGTATATTTAATCATTTATAATATTTACATATGCTTTTACACTTAACTTTGCTAATTTCATGTATGACTGTTTTTAATATACATTAATTTAGTATAATGCAAGAAATCAAATTTGTTATTAAGAGTATATTATATCCAACTAAAGGTATAAAACGTACCACTCAATCTCCCGACTAATTCTCCCGTACTTTCTCTGTCAAACATCGCCGTTTCCTGCTGAAGGATAGCAGCATACGCCTGTTTCCTGAGGGACTGTGTGATTCGGTGTCCCGCCGTGGACATTAGGTAAACTCTGCCAAAGTTGCTCACACCGCCTATGAGAAAAACTACAAAGAGAGCAAGCGTTAGCTGATTAAGATTTTCTTTCATGCCAGTTTTTTCCACGGTATTGACAACATCTATCACTTTGCCAAAGCAGAACGGGACTGCCATCGTTACGCTGGACGACACGAGCAATAAGGCAATGGCCTTCATTAGGGTCCACTTCTCAGGGGCGGCCAGTAAAATTAAAGTCCTCAACTCCGAGCGTTTTTTCGTCTTAACCGCGTGTATTACAGGCACAGCCGTGTCGGACTGGATAGCATTGGTCGTGCAGTGTCTCAGTCCGATTAACACATGGCCTTTCCTTGAGAATCTGACGGCCTGCCTTGTCAGGCAGGAGCCAAACAGGTACTTCTGCGATCTGCCAACTCCACAGCATCCTAGTTTTCGTAGGACACCAGGATTAGTCAACAATTTCCAAAGAATCGTCATGTTATGTGCGGTCTAATTATCGCAATGTGCGACATGCAAAAATTCAATGAAAAACAGAATAAGTCAGCCTTGTAAGGATTAACCGATTAGCCTTCGCTCCGAGCTAACCTAAACAATAGTGTTCAAAGTTTCATTGGAATATCGTAATTATATGCAGTAAGCGTACTTTGGACGAATATGATTAACATTACAGAAGACAATCTAACGGTATTACGTTCGATTCTTAATTATTTTTTTGATCGATCAAATTGCAATAATTTTTAGCTGTACACTTCTCATACGTGCAGATTACGATAGATTCGTCGCGTTGAATCATACTTAGGATTTTCTTCGTATCTTTTCTCTTATTGTCAAGAGAAAACGAACAGTCAGAATTTTGAAGTAAGCTTCGGCATTTTCAAAAATTACTTATATATTATTATTATTATATTGCTGTTTTCTCTTTTATCATCAATTATTCAGCAAGTGTTAAATAGTGTCGAATTTGAACCATGGACAACACCATGCCCATGGTGAAAGCGTGGAAAAAGACGTCTCTGTTCATGTTCATTGCACTTTTTACATTTAGCATTTTCATTTTCTTTTTCTTCAACGCCGGAATATATATTTATTTTGTTTTAAGTATAAAAATTTTGGAGATTTTAAGCAAAATGTGAACAAACCTAATAGAGGCAGTAAGGACCAATAGGTTTAGATTCATATATATTGCTTAAGATTTCCAAAAAATATTTGCACTTAAAACGAGATAAATATATATTTGGGCGTTGAAGAGATAGAAGGCGAAGATACTGAGTACAAAAAGTGCAAGCAACATATGGAAATCTATTTTGTTATTCTATTTTTTGTAAACAATTGATTTGACGGAAGTAAATATATTGACTCTGTTTTCAATGATTTTATGAATTTATTTTCTATATTTTAAATTAAAAATATTACATTATAGGGAGGGGGGACTTCTGTTAATTTAATCGATGTTTAAATATTATTAAACAATATAGTCTAATGTTCTGTGTTTTAATTATTAACATGGATATAATATATGCATAATATTATATAATATATTAATTCTATAATAATATGAATATATTTTATAATATAAAATAAATTTTATATTATAAAATTTATTTTGTTGTTTAATATGTGGATCAATAAAAAATTAGAGACAACAAGAATTATAGTTGGAAATGTTTAATAATTTGAATTAATTGACTGATTAATTTAGTATAATTAAATTGTAATATACAATTTTGTGAGACGAACAAAATTAATAATTTTTTTAATAATAGTGAAAAAAAATTAGATCAAGAAGAACGTATTTATGTAATCAGAATTTTTATTCTTACAATGATTTAGATCGCATTACGTAATAACTCACCATTGTTAAGTAATTAATAATTATTGTTAAGTAATTAATATTTAATTTATAGATAATCAGAAAAAAATATGGATCGATTTATTGCTTGCTCTTTTTGAAGTTAGTATCTTCGTTTTGTTTCTCTTCATTGTCTAAATTATATTTATCTCATTGGTCGCGTTCAGCAGACTCAACTGTTGCGGAGCAGGGGCTCTATTCTTGAAAAGCAACGTATACGAAAGTCTAGGGAAATGCTACAGTATATGTTACGTATATTATAGTATTTCCCTAGACTTTCGTATATGTTTCTTTTCAAGAATAGAGCCCCAGATCCATGAGCACTCGCTGATATTGGTGTATTCTTCTAGATCATCCAATAGCAGCGAGCGCTCACGGATCCGCTCCACAACAGTTAAGTCTGCTGAACGCGACCATTAGTTCGGATCTACAATAGATTTTTAAGCCTTAAACCATAAGAAACGAATCACAGTTGATTATTCTCTTCGCACTAGATTATAATTGGTCAATTTCTTAGGCGTCGTCTACAATACACAGAGTAAGAAGTAAGAGTATGAAATTGACCAATCACAGTCGATTATTCTTCTCACATTCGACCGTGATTGGTCAATTTCTTACTCTTACTTCTTACTCCGTGTATTGTAGACGGGCCTTTACGGCTTAAATCACCTATTGTAGATCCGGACTTAAAGGTAAATTTTCACAAGCTGCTCTAACCAGCTGTTTTAGCGACAAAAAGGTCACATGATCAAAATGGGTGTTTGATATTTGTCAAGTTTGAACACGTGATTCTTTTTGTCGCTGAAACAGCCGGTTTGAGCAGCTCGTGAAAATTTATCTGATAGCGTTTTCGGCCCGATCGGATTTGCACCAACCTGGGTTGGATAAATCTTTCCTATTGGTTGACGTCACCCGCTCTACCAATAGAAGAGCACAAAACGCCATTAATCCAACACAGGTTGGTGCAAGCCTGGCCGGGCCGAAAACGCTATTAAAGAGCAAACATTTTAGGGAATTTAAAGAAATGCGAAAAACTCTCATTCCGCCATTTTGATTTTTAGTTCTTTTCAGATTCGTTCGATTCAGTTGGCGATCATGCGAAAGTATCGATTGTCAGATAACGGGGACAACCTTCACTCCGATCCGCTCTGATCACACTTCAGAGTTCGGAACACGTTCTTTCTGATTTTCCCGTGCCGAAGACATGGCGCTTAACCTTACTGTCAAAGTGCATCCCGTAGTTTTATTTCAAATCGTAGATGCGTACGAACGACGAAAAGCGGAATCGTTGCGCGTTATCGGCACCTTACTGGGTAACGTATTGTGCGACAATTCTATCTGTCTAGATCGACCTAGGACTCCTACCGTGATTGCATCTGGCCACCGGAGAGTTGTGATCTCGCAGACTTTCGACATGTGTCATTCGTTGTTCCAGGTACCGCGGAGAAGGGGATCGTCGAGGTGACCAATTGTTTTTGCGTACCGCACAAGGAATCCGAGAGCCAGGTGGAAGCTGATCTCACCTATGGTATGGACCTGTATGACTTGAATCATCGTGTCAACGCGCAAGAGAATATCGTCGGTTGGTGGGCTACCGGCAACGAGGTTTCTTAGCTCTTGATTTCACTTTCTTATATGTTTTTTTTTTCGATAATGCGCAACTAAATGAAACGTGTTGCAGGTCACTACACATTCGTCTGTCATTCATGAATATTATGTGCGAGAATGCAATAATCCGGTGCACTTGACTGTTGACACTACATTAACAAATACAACAAGAATGGCGATCAAAGCTTATGTTTGTGTTCCGTTGGGTGTACCTAATGGCAAGCAGGGTTCCATGTTCACTCCAGTCAAAGTTCAGGTTTGTTAGAATATTATTTCTTAATATACATGATTCGTGTTTTACATCATTCATGTTTTACGTATTTCTTTTCTTTGAGAACTAGGATTTGGCTAAATAATGATCTTTATTTTTTTCTTTTTTTTTAATACACAACTTTACAAATATTTTTTGAAGATGTTAAAGTACGTGTATGAAACATTTAATAACTTTGATATATTTGTAAAAGTGAAAATTAATCTGACACAAACCATTCATCTTCTTTACTTTTTCTTCACTTTTACAAGCATACAAAAATTAGATGATTCTTACATGTTTTTTAATATTTTTAGGAAATATTTGTAAGGTTGTGTATTTAAAAAAATATATATATATACATACATACATATATGTATATATTAACTAATATTCTTTGGTACTCCCTAGCATTTTCAAAAAAGAAAGGAAATGCACAGGAGTCAAATGATCCAATTGTATGTACTAAGGATTAAAAAGATATCTGTAATAAATTTATATCATAGAATACATAGAAAAAGATACCTACAATAAATTTATATCATAGAGTACATAAAAAAATTGTTCTTTTCAGTCAAAAATGCAAACTTGCTTCTTGTAACTTACAATTAGTTTGTTCATGTTGCTTGAAATCCAAAAATTTTTGCACTTAAAACAAGATAAATATGCACTTCAATGTTGAAAAAAAAAAAAAGATTCTGATTGAAAAAAGGTACAAGCAACGCGAACAGACCTTCCTCTCCAACATGGAGAAAAAAAGAAAAGAAAAAAATAACTTGTGCAAGAAGTTTAATTGAAAAGAACAAATTTAAGGACAATCTATCTTTATATATAAAAATTATTTTTAATATTATAAAATCTTTCCATATAGATTACATGCTATGAGCCAGAAGTAGTAGGACTGCAGTTGTGTTCAAAGACTCAATTGCCATCTCATATACAAGCATCCGGAATGAAATCTAGTGGAGGGATAGAACCCATGATGGATCTTGCACAAGTCTCAGAGGCCTGTTCCAAGCTTTCTTTAATGTTAGAACAAGTACTGGCATATGTTGATGATGTTCTAGCAGGGAAACAACTACCAGATAATCAAGTAAATATAGACGGACGTGAAACGTTTTTTTATCTGTAAAATACTTGCTGTTATTTAATCAATATATACGATTATTCTACTATTTCAGGTAGGTAGAGCTCTTTTGGATATGGTACATTCCGTGCCAAAAATGACGTGCGATCAATTTGACGAAATGTTTAATAGTAACGTTAAGGATCTTCTTATGGTTGTTGCGTTATCTCAGTTGATAAAAACGCAGTTGCAGCTTAACGAAAAACTTACTCTGCTTACAACTCTATGATTGAAAGCATTTGATTCTTCACGCTGTATAAATAATGCAGAAAAAAATCAATAATAATAGTCCACTCTCTCTCCGATATATTTTGATTACTTTTAATATTATCTATCAATTGGAATTAAAACAGTATTTTGTGAAAATGGAATTATAATTAATGAATTATAAAAAGTACATCATTAAATGATACAATTATATGTACAATATGCATTTTATAAATAATTACAATTATAACATGTAATAAATATACAATAATATACTTAATTTTTATAGATTACTTCGTTAAATCTTGCTCATTAATTTATTCATATTTCGTAAGAAGTTTCATCCTTTTGATTATCTATAAGATTGGACCAATCGGGAACTCGATTTGTTTTTAAATACACATCTTTTGTCAAACATCGTAATGGTAAATCTGTCGTGCCAAAAATTGCACCGCCTAACCATACTGTGTAATTTGGCTTACTAGGTGCTGTATGGAATTTGAACGAGTCTACCTTCAAATTAGTTTTATACAGATCGCTTTCGATTAAAGCCAACATTTCCGACTTCAGGCGACTCGCGAAGCCTTTTGTCATAGTTGTTCCTCCGACAAGTATTATATTTTCAGCCAATATCCGCCTTGTATCCAATGGGCACTGATTTCAAATTAAATTAATTTAAAATTATACAATTTAACATAAGAAATATGTATTTTGTTATGTAATAATCTTAGAGATTTTATTGTGTAGAGTAAAACAGATTAACTTTACCTTAACGATAGCGTCGAGTATCATAGTAGACAAAGAAAGATTATCATTATCCCTTTCCCATAACACCTCAAATGCTTTCTCTCTAATTTCTCCAGGTATCATAATTCTTTTAATACCAGGATATGTGACGTCAGGAGGTGGAGTCAAAGCACTTTCGGTTCCTAGCTTTGCAGATCTTTCTAGCGTAGTTACAAAACATGTTCTTACTTTAATATCTTCCACTATATTTTCTGACAAATCTAGGTCGTTTGTATCTCGAAAGTATTTTTTTAAATTTCTATAAATTGAGAAAAATATAAATACCTGTTAAGTAAACCTCAATACAAGAAATGGAAAAGCATAACTCACTCATGTATAATCTGTCCGCCTAAAGGTAATGCTTGCCAGGCTTTAAGTATCGGTATTCCTTCAAAGATCGGAATCAGAGTTGCTTCCTGATATCCGACATCTAACACCAAAGCCGTATCAATACCGAGAGTGCTAATTGTTGCTAAATGACTCGGCAGAAACAGTATAGAACCAATTTCGAAGTGTTTGAACATTACTTTCGCGAGGGTATCTCTGAACGATGTCACTGCCAATGGAGACTCCAAAAGTAATATCCTTGCATCTTTTGGGCTTATCACAACATACCTATATCACAAGAGTCACGTTAGATGGAAATTCTAGGACAAACTTTAATAAATATAAAACAACTTTTTTATAATCTTACTTAAAAAACAATAGATGGAGAAAGTCTACAAGTAGTTGATACAGATCCTCGACGTCCCTATAATCAATAATTCTGCGTATCTTCTTTGATTCCGAGCATCTCACTTCTGTTCGAATAATACCACGTGGAGAGACTTCTCCCGCATAGCCAAACCTATGTTTAAACAAACATATTTAACATATAAATATATCCAATCAAATTGTAAAGGCTGGAAGAATCATTTTCCTTATCGCAATACTTACTTTGTATAGGCGCTACCTATATCAAACACTACCATTTGCTTATCTGAGATATATCTCACGCCCTCGTATCCGCGAAGCATTTTCTTTATTATTTTGTTTGCTCGTAAGCGCGTTTCTCGAATTTTTAATATTCACAAATCGTTTGACAGATGAACAGCTGAAAATGCCGTAGCCATGATATAAACAGGGGGTCGATTCTGTAAATCAATAGGCTTGTTCTTTTTGGCTGAACTTTTCCACCAGTTCATCTTTCTTCCCCTTCTTTTCTCCTGGAGAGAAAAAGAAGAAAGATGAACTGGTGCAAAAGTTCAGCCAAAAAGAACAGAACTAAGGTGAAAATTATAAAAGTGAGCAAGTTTACTAGGTGTTGACCAATAAAATTATACTGGTCGCCGACCAGTCATGACTACGACAGCTACGTTTTTCTCTGTCTTACCTTAAGCCCATTCTACAATTGCGTAAGCGTAGATGCAAGGGTGTAGTTGTAAGAATTAACCAATACGGTCAAATATAAGGAAAATATTCGATTGCGACTGGTAAATTTTTACAATTAAAACCACTTTATTACAATTAAAACTACGCTTACGCAATTGTAGAATAGGCTTTATGTTACAACTACGAAAGTTACGTCTCGTTCTCTGCTATAGCCCTTTTGCTGGATTCACACTGCATTCGATTTACGTCGTACGACGCTCTGCAACCAATCAGGAAACGGGATTCCGATGGATTTTGTTTCGTATCATCGGAATTCAGTTTTCTGATTGGTCGAAGAGTGTCGTACGACGCAAATCGGATGCAGTGTGAATCCAGCATTTCTCTCTTTCGCGATGCAACGCCTGACGCGCTCAGGCTGGAGTCCCATGAGGTGTATTTGCCGCGTATTACGTAACCGCGTAACCAATCAATAATCAGTAAAACACGAAATCACAACAGCGAATCGCTTCTGATTGGTTACGCGGTTACGCGATACGCGG